TCTGCTAGATTTGTGCTTTTCTTTATTGCATCCATGATAAATCTCCTGTGTTATTCTTAGCAAAAATTAAGACTTGGGGGGGGGGTGTTGGTTTTTTTGGTTTGGGTTTTTTGTTTTGTTTTTTTTTTACTTTCTAATAAGACTTTTTAAAAATTTGTGACAAAATAAATTCCTTTGACAAATAGAAGTCTCAATAGTTATACTCAGTACACAACTCTTCTTACTAGAGCTGGGACTAGTGCACCATCTTCTGGTAATTTCAGGAAAGGCCTTGAAGGTTGACCGTTCAGAGGGGAGAGTACTTGTACAGTTCTACATCAGACCTGTTTTTACAGTGGGCTTAGAAAAAGGAACACATGAAATCTATAAAAAAATCAAGAGTAATTGTGTGCTAGGTTCAAATAGCATAATCTTAACTATGAAAATGTTTGTTTATGATGTTTTTATGAAAAATGTTATTTGAATTTAAAAAGCTAGTTACTAGAATTATACAGCTAATCTTATGTTCACATCTCATCAATTTATTTAGGGATTTATTAGATAATTTCTGTGAGTATGTGTATTGGGAACAAGAAATAGGAAGAGTGCTGGGACTTGGGTGCTCTTAATGCACCTGAGACAAAAGCACATTTTTTTGTCTGCTTGCCATCTGGCTGCTTTTATGTATTCATTAGCTGGATCAAAAATCCTTGTATGTATCTGTACTGAGTTTAATGTGAAACACACTCTGGACAGGCAGCATTAACTGGTTTCATGTACCTTCACGTACTGGGTACTCGCAGCACTGGAAAAACAACTTATCTTTTCACCAGGTATAATAGTAAGAAAATAATAAAATAGTCATCATATGGATAAAATTATGCTTGTGTTTATGAAATAGCTTTTTTTTTTCTACAGAAATTGATGCCATAAAAGGTGTAAATGCTTCATAACTATAATAAAAGTAATTAAGTTATTTTGTCTTACACATTTAGCACTGGTAGTTTTCAAACTGTGATACTGAGAAGAAAAAGCAGAACACTGTGGAAAAGGAAAATAGAGATAAAAGAGCAAAAACATTGATTTGGATATCATTATTTTACAGCTGTAAATATAGGAGGCAGGTACGCGTGCATTCTAAGAACAGATTTGCTGTGGTAGCTGGATAGCAGTAAATGGAAAGGGTCAGTATTCTAGCAGCTTCCAAACAAAGTTGTGTCAGGTATTTCACAGAATGGAAGAGCATGTATGGGCCTTCCTAGACCATTCAGCCATGGAAAATGGAGTGAGAAGAGAACAGAAGGGGATTTGCCAGCTCCAGGGCACACAGTGTAGGTTAGTGCCCAGCATGATTTGTTGCAAAGAGGGGGAGGATGGGGTGAGGCTGGCAAGGGGATTAAGGGTGGGGAAGGTGGATGACACTTGTTTTAAGGTAGAAGGAGAATTTAGAGGCTTTCAGATTAAGTCTTCCCTGTGAGTTAGCAACTTGGTGACTAGGAGATTTTTTTTCATTTAGAGATCCAAGAGGAAAACAGATTTTGGGCAAGCATGTGTTTGAATAAAAGAGGCCTTACAAGTCATTTGGGGGTGTTTCACGCCCAGTGCTGTATGAGAAGCTCCTAGCAATCATGTAAGCATCAGGTGCACAGGGTGCAAGCTGGACGTTATTAGTGAAGCTGTGGAGAGGATACAATATCGCAAGAAAACAAAGCAAGAGAAGCAGAAAGTAGGGGCATAATGCAAAGTGCTGATGAAACGTGATGTTTGAGGTAGGTGTGCTAATTCCTGGAACAACTGAATGTGCTTGGAGCAACCAGTAAGAAAAAAGATCTTGGCGATGCCATTTTGGATTAATAGAGGGAAATGAGCTGGGTATTTACAGTGGATTGTCCCCTCCCCTTGAGATATCAAGGGAACGTCTTCTCTGAAAATGGACAAGCTTATTAGTCGAGGAAGCTACTGCAGTACATATCACATTTAATTATGCAACAGCCTATCTTAATTTACTATATTCTTTTAATATCTGTAGAAATAATACTTGAACAGCTGTGCTCTGTGCAGCATCCTCATGAGATTATGCCAAAATACCTGAACAAAAGACTTGCTACTCATTAGTTGGTGGGCATCTTTGGGGTTTTTTGGTTTTATGTCAGAAAGCTACTTCTAAATGCCAGGCTGCTGATTTTCTTAGTCATTCTGCCAATTGGGACTGATTCTGCAAGAAATAGCAGATATGTACACTAGTAAAATAATTGAAGACCAGATTCAGGTATATTTTAAATGGTAATTCCGCTGGTGTAGAAAGAAATGCTGCTGGTATTGAAAGGACTAATTGTCAACACAATTTAAAAAACAAAACAAACAACCTCACAAAATTAAGCAAGGAAAACATCCAGAAATAAAACAGGTTTCTGTTAATTTGCTTCTTAGGATAAGAACGTTTCAGAATAGAAGAGTAGGATGCAAGGGTTTGCAGTCTGCACGATATAAAAATGCTTGACTCATATGAGTAGGTTGTCATCAAAGCTGTGTCCCTGCTTCAGAAAAGGATGGTTGACAATTGCGGATTAAGAAGGGAAAAATTTCTCCCTAACATAGACTGTTAGAGGTGGCAGAATTTTCACAGGATTTTAGCTGTTCAGTCAGCAAGAGTATTGCAGTACAGCTCTGTAAAGCAGGGACACTAGTGGAAACTTGCTTGAATCTTACAAGTCTCTCGGTAAGGGAGAAATCCCCTTAAGTAAATGCATTTTAATTTCACACAGGGGATTTTGTAGAAGGAAGAGGAGTGTAAGAATGTGTAAATGAAATCATCTGGATGTGCTGGAAAGCTGCTTGGAAGGATGTTAACCCTGATTCTTATTTATACTGAGGCCCTTTTCCTCCAAGCTGGTTCTGAAAATGGCCTTGCAATGTCTATAAAAATAACTTGTCTTTTATAGGCACTTGGGCTTCCTGAGTACTGTTATTATGTATTAGGTCATAAATTCCTGGTAGTTTATTTGCAAACCAGTGTTATTTTCTGAATATTTCTCTATCCTTGTAAGTAAGAGTACTAATTATTTATTTCTACTTGGTTATTTTTATAGTTCTGTTGTGCTCATTTATTCCATCACTAAAAGTATTATGTGACAATATGCATATTCCTTTTGATGTCAATTAATAGCAGATTCAGAAGAATTCTGAATTCTTACATTAAACATAGCAGTGCTAGACAACCTGTGCCCTGAATAATTTATAAAGAATAAGAAAAGGATTAGAGGTAGACCACACAGATACAAATTTCCATGTGAGTTTAGTTAGACCTTAAAACAGGGCACGTACACTTCAGAGTATCCCTGAGATAGATGCAGTCATTCTTTTATTCCTGACTCTCATTTCATCTTTTGTTGCTTTTCCTCTGAACTCCTTCCAGTCTACAGGCCTTGCTAACAAGGGCCCCTCAAGGGTGAAGGTAGGGTTTCAAGAATGTTTTGGCAGCTGTTTTATGGCTGCTCCTTCACCATGCTTTGTCAGCTTAGATCTTCTAAAGTGCAATTATTGCATGGGAAGTAACAATACTTAAATTGTTCTGACTAGAGGGAGACATAATTCATTCTATATATAGCATCTCCAAACTGAATTAAGCTTGAGTTCAGACACTTCAAAAAACAGCTGCTCTAAGAATCAAGATGATGACAAGAGACAGCAATACAAATAAATATTTTATAAGACAATGTGAAGTTTAAGGATTGATTTAATAAAACCCACAATAAAGCAACACATTTCTGCCTTTTTCTTCAATTAAACAAATGTGTAGTAAATTATTACAATAAAAACCTCCAAATACATGTCTACTGTACTTCAACTTCTAATTACAGCAACTGTAAACCCCAATTTAATTAAAACCTATTTGAGTATTAGTATGTGCAAAATACCTGTTGTTTGTTTGTGGTATTTTTTCCAGTAAGTTTGTAAGGATGGGATGCACATTTTTTATGAACTGTGATATGGCTTCATTAATGATAATGCTTGTATTGAAGCATTAACTTCCCAAGTACAGTGCTACTTTGCCGCCGAGCTGTACGTGCTCCCATGTTGTACTCAAGCATTTGCATTTCTTGTCAGAACAGATACAAACATAATCCAGTGTTTGTATACTTTGTCCAAATTAATACTGTGCTGTCAGTTTTAGCCTCTAAAAACTCAGCATGTCACCCCTACCTCAGAAAAAGGGGAGAAAAGGAGCCAAGATTGTTACCACCAATTGCAGGTATAAATCAGCCTGATGAGTTACGTGAAACCTTAGCAAGTTTCAAAACAGACAATAGCTTAAGTATTCACAGCTGAATATCACAATATCCATTACTGGGTAAAAATTTTCCTTTCTGACCCACGTACAGAACTATTTTCAATGTCAGTGGAAGTTCTGCATAAAGATCAAAGTACAGAACAAGAAAAAAATACTTGAAGCAAAGTTCTTGCCATCTTCTGAACTTTGTAGGTCATATTCTTGTTGCCCTTAGCTTCTTCAATGCAAATGACTTCAGAAGCAGGCATAAATCTGAGCTTGGAGGAGTATGATAGCTTATTGTCAGGTTTTATTATCCTCTGTACATTCAAAGTACAGTGATTCTACCATGAGGCTAAACAATTCAGTTTTGTGGATTTTGAGGATGAATAAATAGTCTTTCAAAATTTCCTCAATCCCTCTGTAAGTAAGAAAAGGCCTTTCTACCTCTGTAGGTTGTTGCGGTTTTGTTGTCCAACACAATATTAAGCTATTGTCCAATACCATTAGGTTACTGAGCTTGCTTGGGTTTTGCGGTCAGAGATGTGTGACTGAGGGAATAGTATCTGTCTAAAACTTCTGCTCCCCGCTTTCCTGTTAAAAGCTGCATGTATTTTGCACGTCCATAGACTGTGTTTGAGAGTATCTTCATGTCAAGCATAGTTTCTATCACTTGATTTTTCTTTTAAAACAAAACAATAATGGAAAAATTATCAATTACAGGACACTTATTAATTATAATTAGAATGCATGCTAATCAACTGGCCTTTTAATGTGAATCAAATGTTGGTTTAGACATTCAAGGTTATTAATAATAAATTCATTTTACAAGTCAAAACTTTGTAAAATAAATAACCTGTTTCCAATGTATAAACCCTATTCTAAAATACATTAAAGATAACTAATCACTTAAAACACTTTGGGTCCAGTGTTGGGTCTCTAGTTAAATACCAGAAGTCTGGGCAAGGATTTTCCTGTCTGGATTGCTGAATGCCCAGATTAAAGCTAACTTTCTGGTCTGGGTACAGTGAATTCTGTAATCTGCAGTGTCTCCAAAGAGACAGTTTCCAAAAGAATCAACTAGCACTGTGTACATTAGTTTAAGATACTGTAGAAAATTACTATTGCAAAAATACTGTATAATGAATTCAGGGATCATGACATATTATGGAACTCTGGCATGATCGGCATTAGAGACTTTTGAGTAATTGAAATACTGAATACTTGATGCTCCATTTGGAGTGCAGGTATTTTGTGATACATAGTTATTAAAGGACAATATTGGACTGTAATTTGTGAGGTATCTGCAGAGCCACACTGCAGTTTGTAAACAATAATCTGAAAACAGCTTTGTCTCAAAATCATAATAAATTGAATAAATCAGTACAAGGGAGGGAGTGGAATACATGTTCTGTAGGGCAACCACTGCACTTTTTGCAGCACCAGTTCTCCCTGCTGCATGTTACATGGTATAAATCCACATATTAATGGTTTCTATTTGATCATTTTCCTTTTGCGTTTATTGCTCTCAGTCTTTGACTACAAGATAAAGAGTAAGGCAGCAGTTCCCAAAACATACGAAATTAGGCACTGGAACTTTGACAACTTGCGCAGGTTTTGCTCATTTCCTGTTTGTAACTCTGAAGCTGGACAGAGCACTTGTACATTCCAAATGTGTTCAGCAGCAGTTGTCGGGCCTTGGACTGAACTTCTTCCCATTTAGATGAACTACCAGGAACTGGAAAATCAAGAAAATAATTAATAGAATTCACCCCTCAAGAAACCTGGACAATCCAGCTGTACTCAAGTTTTCCACAGTGTTACCAACTAGAATAATCTTTGTTCCTACTAACTTATTAATTTAATACTGTTCTGTGATCACTATATACTCTATATATTATTTTATACCTTTAGGTCTATATCCTCTAATTAGGCAGATCTTGATAAAACTGTATGTTAGACACCACCTCCCACCCCCCAGAAAAATTGAGCTTTCTTACTAAGAATTAATATTCATACTACTGTTAGATGTCTAAATCAGCACGTTCTGGCAAAGAATATTTATTTGTCAGATTGTTCCACATTAGAACTTCATCCTGTCTTTCTCTGGACAAAATAAGGGAATTTCTGAGAAGAAATTCTTCCCCCCCCAAAAAAAAATAGAATATGTTCTGGATGTTTCAGTAGGGATATATTTTCTTTGCACTGTGTCTTTCTGGGTCAATGGGTTCTATACCTCACTGTACAAAACCACAGTTAGTAGATTTTTTTGCCCTTCCTCCCCCACCCCCATCCCTGAATGATATGTCCTGATTCAACTTAAATAACAATATGAAGAGAAAGTAGGGGTTTCTTCTACACTTAGATTTAATTTAGAATTAATCTATATAGCAGCTTACCTAGTTGCAAGTGGACGATGGCAGTTGTTTTTCCTGCAGTGAGAGACCAAACATTTAAATCTTCTATAGAATAAACATCTTCAATTTTCATCAAGTCCTCCTTAATGCGATCCACGTTTAAATGCCTTGGAACTCCTGTGATACCAAACATGAGATAAAATTAATTCTGTCTTCTGCAAACTCTCAGTGGCCTTTAAAATGTCATGACAAATCTCAATGTCAAAGAGTTTATAATTTGTGCTGTTGGAAGCGATTACTAACTTCCAAGTTCTCAGTAGAGAAGAATATGCAAACTGGCATATTAAGTCCAGTATGGATACAGAAGTTGTATGCAGTGTTGTCTCAAATGTCACTTGTCCTGTCCAGAATCTACTCTCTGGCAATAGCCAGCATTAGATCCTTTGGAGCGATGTACTTGTCTACACAACTTTACTGTGGCTTCTACTACCCCTAGTAACTGCTTAGACCAAACTCTCAAGGTCAGAATCTTTAAAAAAAAAAAAAAAAAAAAGGCAGCTAGGGCCTGTCTCCTGAGACTTTTCTTTTCAGGTAAATAGTAATCCATCTGCAGTGGTTAACACAGATGACTTTTGTCCTACAGCGTGGCATCTTTGCATATCAGTGATTGCTCTGACCAAGTCTGTCTGGACATAGTATTTTCAAGCAGTTACAGCACCTCTGTAGCTTCCCTACTCCACCCTTTAGCTGTGTGAAGGGCGGAATCAAAATTTTAGATAATCAACATAGGCTCAAAAACTAGTATAAAAACACTGAATAAACTGTGTGTCTGAATAGTCTTGTTTCCATTATAGCTTTTTACTGCTTATATTCCAGTTTTATGGAGTTTGATATATGCTATGAGGAGTTCAGCCACTTGCTTCTCAAATGTCTTCAGAATTTTTGGATGACTCCCCTCTGAACCTGATGCCTTACTGTCTTTTAAATTATTTTAGTTCCAGTACCATCTTTTTTGAAAGTTCATTGTCTAGGATTGTCTCATATCAAAATTTTCCTTCTAGTGAAGACTAACAGAAAATTATGTAGCTGATAAATAACTAGTTAACTGCCTGGTGTTATTTCTACAGCTTTCTTTTTCTCAGGAAACATGGACTTAAATTTTGGTATCTCACATTGTGCTATTGATAGACTTCCATGCTGCCTTACAAACTTATATTAAAAGCTAGAATCTCATTGCTTGTATTGGATAATCATTTAAGTTTTTAATTTAGCATTCCTAGTATAATGATGAAACTTAAGTTAAAATGAATACTGAAAGCTGATACAACTCCAAGGACACTGATGTTGTAGCAGTCATGTCCAATATAAATGCAAGTCCGTTCTCTGGAGATCCTGAACTTGAGTTGGAAAAATTCCCTAGCATACATAAAGCCCACCTATCATCACTTTTAATAACATCATCAATGCAGAGATTTTTATGACAACTGGGATACCTATGCAAACAACTACAACTCAAACATCTGGAGTCTGATACATCATTAGTTTGTCTTACTTGTTTTCTTCAGCTAAACATTAGCCTTGGAGCTAATTGAGGTTTCTTAAGCAGATTTTACCATTTTTGCCTTCTCTATGAACTTCCATTTTGTTGTGTGTGTGGTTTGTTGTTTTTTTTTTTTTACCCTCCTAATGACACAAAAGCACGTGACACTGAAGATTTTGAAGTCCTGGATTTAACCTTGTAACATAATAAAAGTCAAGTCAGTAACAGCTCACATGAGACAGCAAGGAAGGTGCAGCTAAAACCTAGGATTTTTCTCCCATACTTAACATTTTTACTTTCATAAGGTAAAAGTACTAGATCAAGCAGTAATAGTTGGCATGTTAGTTATAATAATGCAAAGAATGGTGCTGGCATCTTTCCCTCTAAGTCACCACATGAGATAAGATTCTTCAGCTTATGTTCAGCTTGTTATTTTCTTTTTTTTTTCTTCCTTTTTACACCACTCCTTACTTGTAGCTTCCCTTATCCTAACAGTAGAAGCACACAAATAATACAACAGCACTTGTGGAAGAGGGAAAGATGGGACAGGCATGAACCACCTGTCCAGCCATTTGGCTTAAGCTCGTTCCCTCCTTCTACATGTATTCACATTCACTTTAACTTTACTAACTTTAACTAAAGTGAAGGTGTAGAACTGAGTCTGGGCAAGTGTTCACTTAGTTTAGCTGATAGTCACTACAGATGCACAAGAAAGTTCTGTGCATTTCACTGCAGAGGTCAAAGACACTTACAGATTGCTGCAACTTAGAGGAGCCATCAATAACCAACAGACTAAAGCAGCAGCAGGACCAAGTCTTCTCCAGATACAATCCGCTTTGTTAGCGATAGTGATCATGATGTCAAAAAAGTGCCAATGCTCGCTGATATTTGACATGTAAAGTACTACAGACTGTGCACAGATCTTACCTTCCAGAATAATAACTCCTGTGTCGCACAGAATTCGAACTGTTGTCAAAACCACCAGTATGGAAAATACATATGTACATATAGGATCAGCAATCTTGTATTCTGGCTGCAAAGGAAGTTCCAAAGTGTTAAAGGATGTATGAAAATAAGCTTGCATACAAAAACGTGACTCAGAAAATGCAGTTACTTCTAGCTCCAACTTTCATGAATATTTCTTTTTGTCTGAATAGTTACAAAATACATAACAGAGATAGTCTTTGCTTATTTTACATAAATGAAGCTGTTATAACAGAATATCACAAAGTATTTTTTAATAACTTAGAAAAACAAGTCCCTTTTTAATTTAATCACCAGAGCTGAAATTTAAAAAATTCCACCTTGCCTCAAAATTCCTTACCTTAAAGCGTATGATGTATGCGGCTACAAGCACACCAATACTTTGTACCAGGTCCCCAAGGGCATGTACAAATGCTGCTCTCACAGCAAGGCTGCTGTGTCCATGGCTGCTGCTGTGGGCTGCGTTAGGAGAGTTCGACTGAGGTACGTGAGAGTGAGGGTGAGAATGGGAGTGGGAGTGAAGGTGGCCAGATTGATTCAGCAAAAAACCCATTCTGAAAGTAAAAGAAGAAAAACACTCCAAGAAACAGGCATTAGGGTTTGGTGGGTGGGGTTTTTTGTTGCTTTTTTCTTTTCTTTTAAACCAAAGAACTGAAAAAGTAATACTCAGTATAATTTCTTGTCTTATTTATGAAAATGAAGAGGTCCAGCAAAATTACATCCCATGAGAAAGTAATGAATGAATTAGCAGCTTATTCAGAAATACATTTATGAGTGTTAATGGAGAGAAAGGGAGATCTTACATTAAGTTAACTGCAACACCAACGGCTGCTGTAATCAGCATGATGTCGCCATTTATTTCATAGTCCATATGGATAGTTCTTTGAACAGCTTCATACAAGAGGAATGCCATAAGGATATAGACCAGCAATACACTAATGATGGCTGACAATACTTCTGCAAACAGAAAGGAAACAACATTACAAGAGTGAGTCTCAGATCTATTTCTATTTCCAAATCAGAATGTGGACAGACCCTTATTATTTTAACTATTTCATGTGCATCATAACCCTAATGTACAACAAGTTGTGCAGTAAATAAAAATCGTGAAATAGGATTAACAAAGGAGTTTGTTCTAATTCACTCCTTCATGCTTCCCTGTCAGTATATCCCCCAAATTATGTTTTCTCTGAAAATTTCTGCATGGGCGATGACTGTGACTTCTTCAGACAGCCCAGAACTTTTGCCTGAGAAATCGCAGTCAAAGGCTCTGTCCAGGGAAGAGGAAGATAGGTGATCTCAAGTATCACTAGCCCACCTACAAATAAGAGAGAGCATGGTTTTGAGTGTCCGCAGTATTAAGCTGGATTTAGAAATTACTTTTATGTATCCTTTTATATTTAGGATGAAGGAAAAATTATAAAAAGATTAAGGAATGGAACAATACAAGCTTGTCAGACATATTACTCCTAAGCTTCTTGACATATTTATTGCAGATTTCAGCTATGAAGGATTGTTTAATGTAAGTTTCTGTGTTGCCTTAATAGGCTGTTTTATCTAATGTTTACCAAATACTTGTATTTCACAAAAGCGAGAGTGTTATGACAAGCATTTTGGTGTAGGAATTTTATCTGATCAGTAGGGACTTTCAAAAGGGCAGATACATCTAAATAAAGAGAATATTAGAAAGCTAATAAAAACTCCTGTAATACTTCATTTTCTTGCACCTTCTGCTGCCATTTACATCTGTGGAAAGTGGTTACAGCTTTCTGCAAGGTTACTGCTGTTCTCATGTGAGGTAAATAGGCCTGAATATTTTATGGGTTTGGACTTAGTGCTTTCTGCCTCAGTATCCAAGTCATGAAACTGGGCTGGTAATAGCATACATAAACCTGAGAAGGATGAGTCCACACTACAGTTTTAAGGTCCTACTATAAAGAATATAGGTATTTGCAAATGGGACACTAGATTCCTTTTAATATAAACATACTTTTACCCTCCAGTTTCATATTCTGAAAATGATTGTCCTGTTGCAGCTGAAACTTAAAAAAAAAAAAAAAAAAAAAAAAAAGGCAGGATACCTGACAGAGAAAACACTGGCCCAGTTAGGCTGTCTCAGTTACAAGAAAGTCAATACAGGGCTTTACAAAACCCACGAGGAAAACCTTAATGCTAGCTCCATTGTATTCCATGTACATCAGCAGCCGTGCACGAGTAATCTGTAATCGTTATATGTAATGCTCATTACTATCACTTGCCAGATGGATCACTGGGATCTTAGCCTTCCTGTGTGAATTCAAAGATTGGAGTTGGAATTAATTTACTTGGAACTGTAATGGTTGTTCTTCCCCCTTGTTCTACACGTGCTGCCCTGATTTATTGCCCAGTAAGGGCAAAATTCTGCTCTTGGCTGTACCATAGTTCTAAGAATACTGATCTGAGAATTGCCTCACTTCTCCCTCTGCTTTGAATCTGTCAGTTATAGTACCACTTTGGTTACTAAAGGAGGTGTCATTTCTAACACACAACTGCCTTAATTTTATGTATTGAATATTACAGTGAAAAACATGCAGCTATATAAGCATTTTAATATCACCAAAATCACTTGATCCATACACTGAATTTTTAACATCGTTATGGGAGAAGAAACTCACACCAACGCATTCAGCTGTTCAGTAGTGTGTCAATGCCTGGAGGAGTACCAGCATTACTGGGCAGTAACCAGGCTCTGAAAGGCAACTGTCACAATCTCAGATGATTTCAGAGCAACATGAAAACCCTCAAAATATCCATGCAAGTGGTAGTATTCCTTACAAAAGCAGGCAGGTTATTCAGGGCAACAGCCTTAAAAAAAAAAAATAAAAAATACATTGCTTAGATAGTTTTTTCCAGAATGCTTTTTAAAAAAAAAAAAAAAATTTGAAGCCATAGCACATTAGCATTTACCAAAAAAATAGCATATTGGGGTTTTACAGTCTAAAACTGTTTTCTGCAACAGAAACAAGTGTTTTCCCTGCAGTTTCTTTCACAGAGGCATTGTCATGTCAGCATTATAGATCTGTGCTGAGATCTTTTTCACTTGTTGTGAAATGAACTATGCAGTCTCATGAACTATGAGACTAAATTAAGTATGTCACTGACTGACTGATTCTGTCATTACCAACGTTGTCTCTGCAGCAATGGAAAAATGCCAGGTTCCGTATCTATGCTTAAATCTGCTCAGTGTCTTGCTGAGAAGGAGGTATCTCCACTTGGTGGTGAAATAGAATAATTTTTGGCTTCAAGAATATAATCCTTTTTAGACATGACTGCAATTTCCATTATTTTGTCTTCACTTTTCTAACCCATTCCTGAATCTGTCAGCTTCCTTTTCACCACTGAAGATGGAGCATGCATATTATCTATTCAAAGAGGATTCAAATAAATGAAAACTAGTGCTAATTTCCTTCTAGAATTTGACTAGACAACTAGATCTGTTGTCTTTACAATGCGATGTTTATGGGAACAAGATTGAAAATTCATCGTTCTGCAAACAAAAGTGATAATGAGCACCAGAAACATTGTTCATTAGAATGTTATCCTGCTTACTGTATGTACAGATTATCTTAAAACAATGCAAAGCAGGACAGTGATGAGATAGTTCTTGCACATATTCCCAGCTTTAAACAAATGCTCCGCATTTTTTTTTCTGTGACAGATGCTCAATCTGTATCCTGTTTTTAACATTCTGTCATGATTTAACATCTCTCATGAAATTCAAGCTATTGTTGAGCTCATATTATTTGCTGACAAGCTTCTTACATACAGGTCATTTTGAAAAATCTGTTATAGCAAGGATATACCCTAGAAGTAGCTTTGTTCCATTGCTAGCATTCACTGATGTGTGAAACCGGGCCCTCAGGCCACAGCGTTCAGATTGGGTGCCTAAAATCAGGCAAATAAATTTCACAAATGTGATTTTAAAAAACTGTGCATAGTAATTTTGAACCATCCCATCTTCTGCAGGTGCAGAGCCTAGGTCAAGGTTTGGAGGTCTCTGGCAGGGCCTTTACCCACTTCCCCTTCCTCACTGCAGCCACAGAAACTCTTTCCACCACCCCTAGGCTCTTGTCTTCCTCCTCCTACAGAGAGCTGCACTGCCGCTACTCATGCAGAATGGTTGAGGTAGAAAGGACCCCCTGGAAACCATGTCCTGCTCAAAGCAGGGTCAACTACAGCAGGTTGCTCAGGGCTCTGTCCAGCTGGGGTTTGAATAGTTCCCACCGTGGAGGCTCCGCAACCTGTTCTAGTGTTTGACTACCTACTGGCACTGGGCAGCAGAAAAGGAGTAATTGTTGCAGAACTGAGAAACTGCTCCCTGTAGCTTCTCCCATGGAGAAGATAGTGGCCAGGGAGAAGATGGTGGGCAATATGGACTAGTTCTATGGGCTAGTTCTGGCCCATGGGCCACCATTGGATCAGTCCGGCCAGTATTTTTCTTGGCAGTAAAATAAAAAAAGGTACAGGCAATGAGATGACAGGAATCCTCAGGGATTTGTGTTTGCAAAGTGCTGTGGAGCCCTCAAATTAATTAATTGAAAAGTCAGTGAAAATTTACAGAACTAAGTAAGATTTTGATGGTTAAATAAGTATTCTTTATTTTTCTTAAGACTAACTCCTATTTTAAGCTAGTCCATGGCATGTTCAGTGTATGTACTATTTGGTTTTAGAAAAGTTACAAAGACACATAAACTACTCAATTTTTTTTTCAAGAAGGTTGAAGTGTGTATAAATGCTAGCAAACATCCTTCTGGAGAGTATGAGCAAATGCCAGGGGCATACCTGCAAGGTCAGGTTTCAGTATTAAGGGAGTTCCTACTGCAAAATTAAAACTTCTTGAAAGAAAAGTTTGTAATGGGAAATGCTGGCATTGTTAATGCTTTCTTGCTAAAGCCCCAAAGATCCTTGCTAGTGTACAGAGTTATGCATTCATGCATTAGTGACTAACTGATGACAAATGACTAGGAGTGATGGAGTTGTTGAATTCTACTGCTGTTCTAGCAGCCAAAATAAGAATTGCAAATAATGACTACACAAGACTTTGAAACTCCTTGAAAAATATAGGCTATGGAATGTATAGAGCAGAGGTAGCAAACTGTGCCACTAGAAATTATCTATTTCATGAAAAATAAAGGTTGAAGCTGTTGGTAAAAAGTCTACAAGACCTGCAGCTGCATATTACAAATTATGATATCCACATGAGAACACCGTATATCATCTTTACACTTCCAAACATGAAGTAATGAATCCTGAAAACACCCTTCCAAGGTTTAGTACATAATTCTGTTTATACTTCTTTCTACAGACATCTAAAATGGGCAGAGGTTAAGTAACTTACTGTATTGGAAACCATGGGACATTCTTACCTCTGCTTTGTGTGGTTTGGGGAATACAAGAGGAATAGTGATTTATGTGGCTTCTGGCAAGGCAGAGCTCTCTGATAATATGCTCTACAGAACTTTTTAGTTCTGGATTAAGATGTCATTTTTCACATTGAATAGGACTTTTTTCTAATGTCATAATTCTGCTGAAGTCAATGGGACTTTGTAAATCCTGGGCACTGGCAATAATCCGTTGTGAACAACTGACTGACAGGTACAGCTCCTGTACCCACAAGCTCCTCAGTGTGTCACACAAGCAGCAACAGTGGTACAGCAGTCAGTGACCAAAGAAATGTGTCCCTCTCTTGCTCAACAGCCTCCGTTCCAAAGCACAAAGGTGCCCAGGGGCCTGACCTAATGTGACAACCCAGTAACTATGGATGGGCTGTGAAACACAGCTGCGTACCCACCCTTGTTCTTGCTGGGGACAGCTTCCCTCCTCTGAAACCTTTTAAAATTTTTTAGGCCATGGTTCATCTGTAGGAAGTAATATTTACAATGTCATTGTGTATCTTAATTCCCCAACCTTTCTACTTACAATGGAGATGAATCAAGCATTCAGAATTTAACCCTCAATGTGCTAAGTCCTAGTTCCACAGAGATGGAGAGACTCATCCTGCTCCCAGTGAGTGAAACTCCACCATCAAACTTCACTTTTGGCTGAGTTTTAAAATTTAATTTTTTTTTTTTTTATATTATTATCTATTCCCTTGTGGCAATACAGCCTAGGTAGTGGATCCACAATGGCCAGTGAAAGGACATTAGAGTCAGGGTGTTAAAACATAAAGCAACTTTTAAGTTTGTTGCTACTTTCTTTCTAGTTACCTACTCTTCTAGATGATCTTTACAGTTGTTGCTTAGAATACTCTAATAGCAAAAGCTGGTATCTACATACCTAAGCGATGAAATCCAAAAGTGAACCTCTTTGTGGGAGATTTTGCAGACAGCCAGAGAGCAAGCAGGGTCAAAATAATACCACTAAGGTCAGTTAACATGTGAAGTGCGTCTGTCATAATTGCTAGACTGTTAGCAACATATCCACCTGAAAACAAAGTTGGAAAAGTCAGGATGTATGACATTAATGATTCTAGATAATATCCTCTTGGTACAGCTTACGGTTATTTATTTCAGAACCGTGCATTAAGCGCATGAGAGCCCTTCTTATAATCACTAAACGGGTTTTTGCCATTACAGTCAAAATGCCATGCTATAATTTAAAGCTACCATAGTTACAAGTGCAGTGAAGTGTGCCTTCTATTAAGTGCTACTAAGTAACATAGAAAGGATTCACCTGTTATTCTCACAGAGACTACTTGCATTGTAACATCTGCGAGATCAGGCCCAGAATAAGTTTGTCTCTTTTTTTTTCTATTATTGTGTATGTGTTTAGGCAGCTGATCCTTTTATTAAACTACACCTGTTAGTTATTTTCACATTACAGAACAGGGACAGAAATCCAATAACTCAATGGCAAGGAAATTTGCCTTGCCCCCCACCCCCCACCCCCACTCCCTTTTTTTTAATTACATTATCTTTTAACCTTTGTTATTCCCTGTCCTGGCAGGGGTGTGTAAGTTCTGCCAATGTATATTGCAGACAATGACTTTCACATGCACAGCATTTTTCTTTGTTATTTATTACTGTAATTTTTTCACGTAATTATGAGCTGCATTGAGACAAATAACCTCAGATCAAAGGTTAATATCCTTGTTCCAATTCAATTGCTAAAGCTACTATTAGATGGGTGAGAGATTTAAACAATGTGCCTCTCTTAAGCATCCCTTATCTAAAGAGGAATCAAGGGCAGGCTTCATTGTCTTCTAAATGCATGAAGGTAAGCCCATTTTCTCAGAAAAGATCACATCTTTAGTGTCAGCTCAGCTATGATTTAGTTTCTCTTTTTACCTTGAGATTGTCTTTCAGCCTGTAAATTCTACTGAGCAAAGCATGCAGCTGGTATGCTATGTGGCAGGCTTGAGGCTCCAACTAACATTTTGAGTAAAGGTATCTTTGTATACAATTAAAACTATCCTAGTGAAGAGGCTGACGGTGAGGAAATAGGAAAGGGAAATTCACAACTGGCTGATTACTTTCAAGACTATTCCTGAAATGTGTGTGTGTTTGGCGGTGGGTGTTTGTATGTACCCATCTGTCAATCAGAGCTACACTCTCCACCACAGCCAAAACAAGCACCATGGCTGATGCTGCAGTATTGCTTTTACCATGGGTAACTACCAAATACACCACATTTCAACCAGTTTCTTTCCTCCATCCGCCCTTCCTCAGTTCATAAGTTTCTAAGTCAAATTATTCTGAGGCTGAAATTTTCCACAGGCCATCACAACTCAAAAATAATGAGTTTTTAAAATTTAGCAATTCAGCAGCTTTTTGAGTTTAATGAGTTATGCCTTTCCTTTCTGAATTAATTTGTGTTTTCACATAATTTAAAAAAATACGACTTAGAAATGTGTGGCTTGACATCTTTTATAGTCAACACAGAAGAAACCATATCTAAGGACATTCAATAGTTTACATGTGTGATCATTTAAAGTATGCATGTTAATTCACATGTATTAATTCTGAGAATTACTTCAGTCCAAGATGAGTCAATTCTGTTTCATCTAGTTTCTTGCTTTTAAAGGCTTTAAAAATAAAATGATAAAGAAGGAATTCAGGTATTGAAGCTAATTGTAATGGCAGCATGTGGATTAAGAAAACAATTGAGATTTATGAAATTCTGAAATCAAAGGTGCTGTTTCCAAATGTATCATTTCATTGCTTGGTTAAAGGTCCTGCCTAAGGGCTCTTTAAACACGATTGGCAAATTGGAAAAAAAAAGACATCTGTAACCTTTACAAATAGCTTGGTGGCTCACCACTGTTTTCAGTGACCCATGAAGGACAGCAGTCCTCCTCGTGGATGATCAACTAGAAATCTCTAAACGTAGCTGAAAACATCAAAACCCTGTCAGAAAAGCTAACTAGGACTTGCAATATGTTTTTCCTTTCTTGATGCAAAATGGTTCCCACAACGTGTAAGTTGTTATCTGACTTTCACAATGACTGTTCATCAAATAAAACAACAACAAACACTGAGGTGGGCTGGGGTAATGAGCTTAGCTGTACTTCAGAAAAAATACGCCAATCAAGATTTCCCAAAAAAGCTGCTGAAACAAGATTTCCTTCATCTTGACATTAGTAACAGACAGCAGGAAGATTTTTACTGAACAAATTAATTGTCTGATAGGATTTTCTGTCTCTCAGAAACTCAAATCTGTCAAAGACCATAGAAAGAAGTCTGTTAAATGTCCTATTGATCAAACAAAGTTTCCCAAATACCTGGGCTACAGATCAATTTAAAAAGGTCCAAAATTTGAAACCAACCAGACAGAACACAGTACAGGGCTGGAGTCAAATAAATTAAACAGGTAGGGCATGGTCCCAGGACTTGAGGGCTCTATCTTTAATTACTTGTTCTGCTTCCGATTCCTTGCCCTATGACAAGTCATTTCGGTCAAGATCCACGAAAGTACAGAGATACCCAAGTCCTCTGTTTATTCCCTGTGGAAGTTGGATGCCTGAATATTTTATGGGTCTGGCCCTTAGTGCTGTCTGCCTCCATGCCCAAATAATGAAACAGGACTGGTGATAGCATGCATAAACCTCTGGAGGATGAGCCCATGCTACAGTACTAACGCTCTGTACAGACAAATCCGCCATCCTGAGCTGAGCTTGCAGGAGTCCTGGCTGTAAGGGAGAAACCACAGATGATGTGACAGTCATGAGAGTATTTTTACTCTCAACACTTACCATTTCTAGAGCTCTCCCTTGCACTAGTTATGGAGAGGCCTACAGTAGCGTGACTCTGATCTGAAGCCCCCAACAGATACACTCTTAGTGACTTCAGCATCAAGCTGCCAACAGCTCAGGCATTTTATTTGGTAAGGGGCCCTTCAGATGAACTAAATTCAGCATATATCAGAACTCTGATATGGATACAATCAAATAAAATCACTCTCATTAAAGGATGTCTACATCTGAGATATAACACTGTGCTGCTTATCAAATTTACCCAAGTTCATGCTGAACCAAGATCTCAGCCAGAGAAAAAAAAACAGAGACAGGGGGCAAATGAAGGCATTCAGCCAGATCCCTGCAACAGGTTTGATGCAAAGTGCCTTATCCGTGATGGGCCGATGTATTGTGGCAGCGTTGCTAGTGACTGGCCACACGCTGAGAGATATTGAAGGACAAACCCACTTTTTTCTATTAACCCATGTTCCTGAAATAAGGCCCCAAATAAAACTGGTGCAGATATAGTCAGTATTGTGGTCTTCTCTCTCTGAAATTCAAATGGACCATTTCTGCTAGGGATTTTTTTTTCTATGTAGGTAGGACAAACTGTATTATTTATACTCAAGCAATGATTTTGCTCTTTACTCATCTTGTAGAAGTTTCTGTCTTAAAGATACAATTCACGCTGTCCTAGGGCAAGTGATCCAAGAGCATGAGCTCACTTCACATAGGCAAACATCAGATCTTCAGCCACTACTGACCAAATGTGCATAGGTGAGGAGGAGGAGGATGTAGGTCCTGTGTTACTAGACTTGAGGCATCTCTGTGCTTCACTTCCAGAAAGTTTTCATGACTTGGTTTTGGTTTTTTTTCTGGTGAATCATGGCCATTAATTCAACTGATTAGCTCTGATTTAGACTTGTAGGTTTAAATAAAAGCAATTTTAAAGCAATTAATCCTTACAGTTGCTAGAGAGATCTGGCTCAACCTGCACTTCAATGTTCTGGCGCTGTGTAACGCTCCCTGCTCTTTCAGATCAGGGGGAAGCAGATGAGCAAGTTTAAGCATTCTTCAGGGGGCTGAGTTGCACCAAGCAGACACTCACCCTGAATGGCATGGATGTGTCCAAAAGACAGATGGTCACGGGACACTGATAGTAAATCGATAAGGGAGCAGAGATTAAGAGATAAATACTACGCTTTGCAAAAATTATTAGATAATGGCAAAGGCATAACACTTAATAGTTCATCTGCGCATCCAAGGGACTTTCAGATTTAGTTTTATTTCAAGCCTATGCCACTACAGCCTAAATAAAGCACTGTCATTTGGTAGAGACAGCTGTGCAATGCACAGGTTCTCTTCAACCTGAGCAGTAAATGATAGCATGCCTCTATGAGGGAGCAATAAAAGCTGAACTTGAGCAGCAGATTCACTCTGACCAACAACAATCAGGTGCTTACATAGGAACAAATTTCTAAGTAAAAACCCACCGTGCTTCTGCCAAGTACTAACAAAGAAAAACCACAAAGAATTTAATCAAACTAGTTGGTATTCTTCTGTGTTATAATGGAAAGTGTTAAAATACTTAATTAATTGACTTTGCTCATAAGATTTATGTCTGGATGGAGCATATGCTAGTCCAGGGCATGGTAGGACATCAGGAAGCTGTCAAGAGAAGAGAGTGGCGTCTTCACTCGATGGTGATTGATAGCTCAGCACTACACTCCCTTACTTACGACTGAATCTGGTGAGTAAGGACAAATACCCCCCAGTATTAGTTTTGTTGTTATGGTAAATGTCACACTTAGAAACTGTGTTTCCCTCTTCTTCTCTCGTTGCAAACGCGACGAGATTTTATGGCAGTAATTAAAAAATACTGAGGATGAAGTTACTCATCCTAGTATGTTTGTCTGCAATAAAATGCACTTTCTCCCTCGCTAAAAGCACCTTACAAACTTAGAAAACAGGAGAAATACAAAACCATTAGACAAAAAAAAAAAGTGTATTTTATGCCATTTGGGGGGGATCAATGAGATTCAGGTAAGGGAAGCTGCCAATTCCTCTTCCTTTTCTTGCATGGAAAATACAGGCGGACTTTGCTCCTTCTCGCCCTCTAAACTTGCAGCTGATCTCTCCGATCTCCCTAAACGACAGACGGTTTCCCCTATTTAAAACCCCGGCCGGAGCAGCGTGACAGGCTGGTGGGC